AATAAATATTCATGTAATTTTATTGGTATCTATCTTCATTTTGTACATTTACCAGTAGCTGCCTCATTTCCCACCCTAGGCTTATACTCAAGTCAATATTTTTTCCCAGTTTTTTGTGGTAAAATTAGGTACCTCGGCTTATATTCGGGACGGCTTATACTCGAGTATATACGGTATATTGGCATTTTACAAATAATATTTTAAATCCAAGAAACTAATTTAAATGTCTAATACATACAATTAATAAAATATAAAAAAAGGTGGGAAAGGTAATTTTTTATTTCAGCTTGACAAATACTGCTGCAGGATGTGTATTATGGTCACACGCAATTTTCCCCAGTCATCTTCCAGGACAGCCATCGAGATATAGGCTCCGCCTGCCTGCAACAGGAAACACATAAACCACATTAAATAAATAGACTCCTCCTTCCATCCCAAGTCAGTTTTTTTGTGTTTCCGCCGGCTACACAGGGACATCGTAATGTTTGTTGTTTTTAGGGCTCATGTTTGTTTGCCTTAGGGCTGAGCCTACCCTGCTATGCGTTGGGACCTACTCCAGGATTACCTGCTGCAGCGCATGCAGGGCTTCCCTATCGGACCCCCATCCGATTCTTGGCCAAGGTTCCCTTCCATCACTCAGGGAAGGCAACCATCCTCCTGCACGTGAGTTGGCGCCAGATGGTGGCCCCCCCCTGGTGTACAGCAGTGGCAAGCTGGGATGTGAGAATGCTGACCCAGGGTTGTGGACATTTGTCTGGCAACGACGGGGGCAGCATTGGAGAGGTACAGGGAGGCTGGAGGAGTCCAGGGGTCCCGGCTACCTTGGCAGTAGGGGGCTCTTACCTGATGGTATGAAGAGCAGGGTCAGTCTGCGGCAGTGTGGAGGTGTGGGCCTCGCGCGGCGGGCTGCGGCGTCTCTTCGCCCCTTGCTGGTGCTGTGGTGGGAACATAGGCTATGTCCTGGCTAGGAATCCGGCGGGTGACGTCACTGTAGGGCGCCGTCGTCGCCTGGGATACGCGCCGCGTGGTCAGAGCGATGACGCGCTTCCGGTGCGACACTTCCGGGTTTCAGAGGCTGCCTCGCGCTGGAGACGCATAAGAGAGGAGGCTCGGTTCCCACATGGTCACAGTAAACGCCGCTCGGCCACGACTACTTCAGCTGTACACCATCCATACCGACCTAGACCACATAAGGCCGGTGGGGACGTCAGGAGCGGGCCGATAGCGTGGTCGGCAGTGAGCTGCAAGATGCCCACAGATGCCGGACCGGGTGCTGCTGCTCCAGATCTGGGAGAGCAAGGCACAGGCGCTAAGGTAGGCGAGTTTTTTATGGAAATTCTCCCCTTGCCTTTACCCGCTTGCATTGGGGGCCTGTTCGCAGGGCAAGCTGGGTAGTGTTATGTATAGAATGGTTTGCATGCGGGCAGAGCACCGGCTGATGGCATCACTCTTGTCGTACGCAGGTCAAAGCCACGGAGGATAAAGCCCTCGCTGAAGCAGGTTGCTCTCGCCCAAAAGGGAAGAAGTGTGCCTCTTGCTTTGCAAAAATGTCAGCTTCGTGGTCCAAACCCTTGTGCAAAGTGTGTTTAGAAAAAATAGTGGCTAAAGAGTCAGCCGGAATGTTTAAAGGGCTTTTGGACTCAATGAGAGAGGAAATGGTTAATACATTTCAGTCTTTCAGGTCGGCGCTCCAGACCCCAGTGAGTCCACTAGTGGAGACTAGTTTACCGGGTACTTCGGGGGCAGGTGGCTCTACGGGATACACAGAGAGCATAGTGAGCAAGCAAGCGGCCAGTGAATCCTCGGGATCTCAGGATGAGTCACAGGATCACGATGAGTCGGAAGGAGAGTTGCGTAGCAGTTCAGCTACGAAATTCCTTTTTCCATCATGTGAGACAGATGAGCTGTTGAAAGCCATAGGGGATACGCTGGATAT